TTTGTCCTACAACTAATAAAAGATGAGATTTTTAATGTTCATTGTGTATATATGGATAATAGATGTACTAACTATAGTGTAAGAATGAAAGTTCTCAATAGAACTTAATAGCCTTGTTTGATTATTATATGATTTTTTGTGATTAATTATTTTCCAGATCAAGTATTTTTAGGTTTAAATTAATTTAGGTTGTTTTCTTTTACGTCTGAGTCTAGCGTCGTCTAGGTGATGTCATTTTTCGCCTTTTAAAATATTATTTTTTATTAAAATATCAATGACTCATTTAATAAAGTGATTACCCGCGGTTACCCGCGGTTATACCCGTTACCCGTTGGGGCGGTTATGGTTTGGGTACAAATTACTCGTTGGGTAATGGGGCAGTTATGGGGCGGGGGAATTACCAAACGGGGCGGGTACGGTTATATGTAAAACCGTACCCGATCCGCCCCGTTGTCATCCCTAATGGCAATAATGTTATTCGAACAAGGAGTAGGTAAAGTACATCTTACTGATGAATATAGAATGCTTACAACATATCCTTACCACAACACTCGCCTCTAAACTCAAGAGTGCATTGTATGCTAAAGAAAGAATATGATCGATATATTAAGCTATTAAATGCAAGTCTGGTAAACTTTTATAATGAAATGAATGTGAGTACATACTACGGGATGGTAGGTGGTTGGGGACTATATGTGGAAAAAATTAAAGCCGGGTGTCAAAAGTGTCAATGAAATAATAGTTGGAGAACTAAAAGTGGCAAAAACTCTTGCCGAAATTTATGAAATTTTAATCAAAGTAAGTGTAATAATTGATTCCGCTCAGTTATGAAAAATTATATTTATATTCTCCCTCCATCCCGAAAAGGTTGGCCAAAGTTAATTTTCACGTGGCTTAATAAAGTAAAAACTGTGTGGTTGAAATTTGAATTAACTTTAGCCACATATTCCTTACTTTAAATGGAAATGACAAATCTTTTTGGGACATCCAAAAAAGAAATTTGGTCAATCTTTTCGGGAAGGATGGAGTATTTTTTTAATAAAATAATGAAAAATTATATGAAAATTTGTTAAAATAATTGTATACAGTAACTTCAGGTAATGCAGTCAGAAAAGTAATTTCAGTCTTTCTTATTTTGATTATCAAACTGGAAAATCAATAAATGTTGTGCCCGAAACTATTATAGAATCTTGAGTAAGAAACGTGTGTATTATCAATTAGAAATAACGACTAGAGGACTTCGAGCTACCTTTGAAATCCATAAAGGAGGCAACAACGCTTCAGGTGGTCTTCCAGCGGATAATATTAGAGATACCGGAGCTAGTTTTACTATTGTCCCTTTCCTCATATTAGGCGTTCAACGAATCAGGTTGCTCATTTTATGGAGAGAGCGGTTGTTTCTATGTTTGATTCAATCACTGTTGCAGTTAATCCCCTGCCGTTAGAGAGCGCAACACGGTCTCTCGGCCTTTGTCAAATGATATGTATTGAGATGGCTATTTAGCAATGCAATGGAAATAATGCGATTCGAACAAGGAGTATGTAAAGTACATCTTCTTATTGATGAATATAGATGGCTTACAACATATCCTTACCACAATGCTAACCTCTAAACTAGAGAGTATATTGAACGCTACAGAAAGAATAGGATAGACTGAGCTATTAAATGCAAGTCTGTTAAACTTTTATAATGAAATGAATGTGAGTATATACAACAATATGGTAGGTGGTTGGGGCGACGTGACGTACCCTGATATGATAACCTCCGGCCATAAAATATGAGTGTATATGATGCATTAAATGTTCTCCCCGCCAAGATCTAGATTTATCGCCAATGTCTTGATGGTGTAGATTTCAATTGGCAAAAAGATAGTAAGGAAAGGTCCCGCACGATCCATTTCATCCCAGGCGAGATAATGGTTCCGAACGGGATAGACGTCCCCAGTGACCCCACTAGTTGAATGCAGAAGTTGTATGGGCACAATAACCCAACAATCATCCCCCCGGTTGTATTGCTCCTACACTCAACCATGACTCTACAAATGAAGTTTAGTTTTATTTAGAAAAATGGAAATTAATAATCTTACCTTTTACTGGTCTTCTTAGGATAGATCCTCCTAACCGTAATTTGAAAATAATCTCACCTTTACACACTGTCTTCTTTTGTTGGTCCTTAACCGGTTGATAACCTGTTATTCCAATTCCATGCTATTTTCTATTATTTGCAAAATATTAAACCATAAATCTCACACTTCACAAATCTTTTCAAGACGGTCCCACATATCAAGTTTTCTTTTTCTTCCGTAAAAGTTTTCTCTCTTTGTTTTATACTCTTGACTCTTTTTCTCCTTCCTATTTTTATTTTTTTTCCATGCTTATGCATTCCATTTTCTTTGTAAAACAATGGGAAAATCCATTTATCCTTCTTTTTCTTCTTCTCGTTTATTATTTTATTTTCGTATTTTTCTAAGTTAGTCCGACATTAATGATCTAATTCCATCAAGTATGATTAAAAACTTCAGATAAAAAACTAGTGAAGAAGGAAAATGAGGAAAAAAGAGAAGAATTGTTGAAAAGGAAGAAATGGAGAAAAGTTTGGATGTACTTTTCACACAAAATGAGATAAAGGAGAAGAAAAGTAATAACCTTAAAACTGTTGAAGGAATGCGGCCGAATAAACCTGCAAAAAGGTGTTAGAAAAATAATATAGCTCGAGTCGCGTAAACGCTCTTCTCAAGAAAGTATTTTATGGAGAGAGCGGTTGTTTCTATGTCTAATTGTCATATTTGGTTTAATCATTGTTGTGGTTAATCCCATACCGTCACATAGCGCAACACGATCTCCCGGCCTTCGTCAGATGATATATGTATTGAGATGGCTATTTAGCAATGCGATGGCAATAATGCGATTCGAACAAGGAGTAGGTAAAGTACATCTTCTTAGTGATGAATATAGATTACTTACGACACATCCTTACCACAACGCTAGCCTCTAAACTCAAGAGTGCATTGTATGATACAGAAAGAATAAGACAGATCAAGCTATTAAATGCAAGTTTGTTAAACTTTTATAATGAAATGAAGGTGAGTACTACGGGATGATAGGTGGTTGGGGCGGCGTGACGTACCCTGACATGATAACCTCTGACCATAATATATGAGTGTATCTAGATGTTCTCCCTGCCAAAATCTAGATTTCTCGCCAATGTCTTGGTGGTGTACATTTCAATTGGCAAAAAGATAGTAAGGAAATTAAAGATCCCGCCCGATCCATTTCGTCCCAGGTGAGATAGTGGTCTTGAACGGGATAGACGTCCTGAGTGACCCCACTAGTTGAATGCAGAAGTTGTATGGGCACAATAACCCAACAATCACCCCCCTCCCCCCATTTGTACCCCGATTGTATTGCTCCTACACTCAACCATGACTCTATGAATGAAGTTTAGTTTTATTTTAAAAAAATGGAAATTAATAGTCTTATCTTTTATCAGTCTTCTTGGAATAGATCCTCCTAACCGTAATTTGAAAATAATATCACCTTTACAGCCTATCTTTTTTGTTGGTCCTTGACCGATTGATGACCTGCTATTACAATTCCAGGCCATTTTCTATTATTTGCAAAACATTAAACTATAAATCCCACATTTCACAAATCTTTTCGAGACGGTCCCACATATCAGGTTTTCTTTTTATTTTGTAAAAGTTTTCTCTCTTTATTTTATACTTTTGACTCTTTTTCTCCTTTCTCCATCTTTTTCTCCTTCCTATTTTTATTTCTTTTCCATGCTTATGCATTCCATTTTCCTTGTAAAAAATGGGGGGATCCATTTTTCCTTCTTTTTCTTCATCTCGGTTATTATTTCATTTTCGTATTTTTCAAAATTAAATTAGTCCGTAATTAATGATCTAATTCCATCAAGTATGATTAAAAAACTTCATATAAAAGCTAGTGAAGAAGGAAAATGAAGGAAAAAAGAAAAGAATTGTTGAAAAGGAAAAAATAATGAAACAATTGGATGTACTTTTCACACAAAATGAGATAAAGGAGAAGCGATTAATCGAAAAGAGAAGAAAAAGTAATAACCTTAAAACAACTAGTCAGGAGTCACTTACTAATCCAAGACTATGAGAAATGGATGGCGTGAAAAGGGAAGATAAGAAAAACAAACAATAAATTCTAATATGAAGAAGAAGTGGAGGAGGAGGAGATGAGGAAGACGAAAAAGAAGAGGACCAAGAAGAAGAGAATGAAGAAGAAGAAGACGAATAGTCATATTTTTGTAAATTCAAACACAAATAATAATATTGAGACCATTTTTCTATATTAAATAACATTTTTTTTTCAATTAAAGTGGGCTTTCCCAATTAATTATTTCTAATAAACATGTCACAATAACAGTGCGGAAAATTTCCTGATGAAAATTAAAAAATAAATTACAAATTCTTAGTGAAATAATTTTCACTAGTTATATTTTTGCCAACGGTTTTTGAAAAATGAATATCTTATTTTCGACGACGGCAGTTTCCGGCAACAATCCCCGACAAAGCGAAGCGACTGGAGCTAGCAGTGGGGCAAGGCTAGGGAACTAGGTTGGAATTAAAGTTGAAGAAAAGTATATTTATCAAATAAAGTTTAATTACATTTTTTGAAAAAAATGAAAACTAGTCATATTTTTATTTTCTAGAGTGTAGAGGTACTATTTTTACATTTTCCCCTAGATAATACTCCGTAATATAGAGGACTAGGCTTGGTAAAAAATGAAAGTAGATGACCAAAGACCTAACCTAATTAATGGTGCATTACTAAATCGAGTATTCGGCTTTGCACTTCATTTAAAAAAATGACTTTACGCATCATCGTATAACATTTTGTAAATAAAAATTTCTTAATAAGATGCAAATTCAAATTTACCAAAAATGGTGTCCAAAATCAAATTTTTTCCAAAATCAAATTTGAATATCTTCCAAAAGGGTGCAAAATTAAAATATACTGAGTACCAACAAATTTTCTTTCCCCTTGAAAAAAGAAGAAAGAATTTAGATTCACACATCACCCATCTTTCCAACGAATTAGGAAATCTAGGACTGGACTTCTCCAATACTGAATACTGAGTATGAAGAAACGATGCTTTTAAATAATTTTCTGTAATCAGCCGAAGGAAGATCGAGGTGAAATCCTTCTATTCTAGTCTACGAAAAGAGAGGTAAATTTCTTGCGCTTTTACTCATTTGTCAATTAGATTGTACATTACTTCAGCTTGCGATTACTTTTCTTTCATGGAAGTCTTTTGATGGAGAAGCTCTGTTCCCCTATTCCGAAGTCAGTTTTTGATTCCGAGACAGTCCTTAAATTCTTTTCATGATCGTATTTTGTTTTTTTTCTTATGAAGTGGAAACACCTTAAAATCAGAACTTTTGTGCTCATGTTAGATTGAACTTTTGTGAGAACTCAATCCAATTGCTATGCTATTTTTCTATTTATTTTATGCGATTGTTATCCATTACCTACTCAATTGTTTGATTAATTTAAGGTTGTTATTAGATTTGATATTTTGGGGAGGAGCGAGTACTTAGCAGTGTCTTATACTTAGCAAGTACACTAAGTAGAATATTCTTTCTTATATAACTAAGTACATTAAGAAAAAGTGGTAGAGATTTTTATGAAAAACTCTAAATTGCATTTCAACTGCCTAATCGTAGCTCTCGCATAACTCAAAAACCTGATGAATAATGGCGTAAACATTTTAAGAAACTCGGTGAAAGTAGAGAATGATATTATACGAAGTAATAGGAAAATACACAATAAAGGGGCATCATACAATGTGGATGAGAATCATCAAATCAAAAAATTTCAGATTAGCATTGAAAGTTAAACCCAATGTTAACTGAAGTAAAAATTGTTCTAGTTAGGGTTATGTGTTTCTGCACATCTATTTTGTACTTATTAGTATTTTATAAAGGAGTCATTTGACTTTTGTATTTGAATTACACAGGTAAGAATAAGTGAATTAGACAAAAAGAAAAGAAACTTGATGGTTATGTATGGCAGCTGGTTAAACAACTTTCTACTGGGTTATGAATAAAAGAACAACAAATAGGCTATTCAATAAAAAAATGAAATAAATTGTAATATAAGTGAAGATTGTAATTATTAATCTGTATTAAAGATAAGAACTGACTTTTACCCTAAACCCAAAACCTTAAACCATTAACCCTAAACCCAAAACCTTAAACCATTAACCCTAAACCATTGTAGCAACTTATATGTTCTTGGGACCGACCACCTATGAAATACAAAAGAGCTGTGATACTGATTACATCTACTTTAGATTTGAGTTAAGTTAATATAATCCTTGCATATATGAATTAGTTACCATTCAAATTTAAAAGGCACAAGCGTAAATAGGTAAAACCTTGCATATGAGCCTAGGTGACAATGAAAAACTACAAGTATGTGGCCATCTGTTTGTTATTTATAGTTATTTACAAGGTTTGTGAGGATTATTTGGCGTGTTGGTTCTAGTTATATTATTCTACAATTAATGACAATATATTTTGTTTTTTGTGGTTTAGGCTATATAAAGGATAGATACTATCTTCGGAATCGGAAATGGATGTATCATAGTACTGTTTATTCTTGTATCACATAGTTTGCTTGGAGAATCTTGATTTTCTGAGGTGAGAATGTGAGATCCCGAATTTGATTTATATTGTTACGTTTTGGAGCTAAGTCTTGGTTCAACTTGCTAGTCCCGTTGGCATATTTCTGAGCTATTAGACGTGTTAGGCAAAAGAATATATTACTGGATCAGTGATGAATGTTGTTACTGTCTCAGTGGCTCCATGCGTTATTGGGAATCACTTAATATAGTTAATAACATTCATTATTTCTGTAGTAAGAGTTTTGAAGTAATTTGCTCTCTGCCTCTGCATAATTCCCACATCCCACTTTACAATTTATTGAAACCTACAAAGACTAAAAACAAAATTTGATTATAAAAAATGGACAGATAGTTTACCAGAGTCTTTTTGTACCTTTCTTCCTTCTTTTAAGGTCAGCTTTTGGAATGAAAAGTGGCAAGGCAAGTGACACTATTATATATACGCATGCTAAATTCATTTTTCTATGTGACTAGTTAGGGTCATGGCTCATAGACTATTAAGAGATGCAGAAGCTGATGGATGGGAACGATCTGACTTTCCAATTATATGCGAGTCGTGCCTTGGTGATAGTCCATACGTTCGAATGGTAACTCTCAGGCTTACTTTTTATGCTTTTGGAGGGGGTGGTTGTGTATGTATTACTAAAGTAGTTAGCCTTTTGTTGCATTCCTTTTCTTTCAATGTGCAATCTGTTTTCTTTCTGCTTCACTGACTCTGTTTGAAGTAAAGTTTTTTTTGTACCTTCTAGTTATCTGCCCAAGGGGTTTGAGGTTTAGCGTAACAATTATAAGCACAAAGTGTCATGCTGACTTTCTTTGAAGTGTAATTGCAACTTTGTGATGCTGGCTTTAACCTTAATTTGATTGTTCGTAGATGAGCTTTATATATATCTGCTAATCTACATTGTTTTTGAGTGTCTTTAGTTTTGACAGTTTTACTAAATGCCTATGCATGTTTGGCATCCTTTTAAATCTATACCATTGTTTACTAAGGTTCTATAGCAATTGGCAAACTGAGAAAGTACACCAAAGTTATGAAGGCTAATTTGGAATTCCTGCTGTTGCATACAAACTGAATTTCTTATGTGAAATATTCTGCCAGTAGGTATTTTGACTTTTAAGTTGGATATGAATTTTGTTGCTGTATGAGTTGATGGAAGCTTGGAACCTTAAAATGTACGTTATGTATGGTGCAACCATGCTCTTTGTGATAATTTAGGATGGTGATGGAACCTTAAAATTTTTATGTTTGGTTCTTCCCAATAAGAAAAAAGGAATTACTGGTTTGTACTTTTGTAGTCCCAAATGAACACATCAAATAAAAAAATGTTTCCAATTTTTTAAATTTCACTCTTTTAGTTGATCATAAACTGAAAATGAGGCATGGAACTAGTTTCTACGATTCTAGAAGTGTAACTTATTGAAGTGATTTTTTAATTGATACAGCTAAATAACTATTATTACTCTATATATGCTAATATGCCACATATATATTATATAAAATCCTCTGGGGAAACCAGATTTATATAGCATTTTTCATTCTTTAGAATAATATTAACCCATTATCGTCATGACCTTGCACTGATCTCAGACTAAAGCTGATTATGACAAGGAATGCAAGATTTGCACTCGCCCCTTTACTGTGTTTAGGTGGAGGCCTGGCCGTGATGCAAGATACAAAAAAACAGAGATATGCCAAACTTGCAGCAAGTTGAAGAATGTTTGCCAAGTTTGCCTTTTGGATCTTGAATATGGATTGCCAGTTCAGGTCCGAGACACCGCACTTAGTATCGATTCCAATGATGCCATTCCAAAGAGTGATGTGAACAGAGAATACTTCGCTGAGGAGCATGACCGCAGGGTGTGTAAATTCTAGTGAGTAGCCCAGTTTATGTTTAATTTCCATTTATCCATACAGCAATGTAAAATATTAAAACTTCAAGTAAGAAATTTTACTTTGACCATCTTTCTTTGTTCTTAAAAAGGAAATACAATATGAAGTTATGAACTGACCTAGAAACTATAGGAACCAAATCGCTGATGTAGGTGCATTATTATTACTCTTTTTTTGCGGTTGGCAGGCAAGAGCTGGGATAGATTATGAGTCATCTTATGGGAAAGTCCGTCCAAATGATACTATATTGAAGCTTCAACGAACAACCCCATACTATAAGAGAAACAGAGCACATGTTTGCAGTTTTTATACTCGGGGTGAATGTACAAGAGGTTCGGAATGCCCATACAGGCATGAGATGCCTGAAACTGGGGAGCTGTCTCAGCAGAATATTAAAGACCGTTACTATGGGTATACAGAGTTCCTTCTTACAATTAATTCCTTGAACTCAAAATACAATAATTGATACAGTCTACAGACACGACACACATTAAAGCATTTTTCTGCATCTTGGCACTTGCAGTTTTCGTGGTTATACATATAATCTTACATTTCAGTCATCTTTTCCTTTCATCGTGTTGATATAGAGGTCTTTCAGTACACTTGTTTTTTGTTATTTTACCAAACAGTTAAACACCAACTTATTTCACTGAATTCTCACGGTGCTGGCAGATAATGAAAAAGGGTAGAGCAAGACTACAGGGGTTAATATTTTTTGTTGAAATGGCTGAAAGTGATACCTTTATCTTTATTTTTTGAAATTATCTTCCTTACTTTATTTAATAAATAATCCGTATATATGATGTCCCATATGACATAGAAATAATGATAGATAGGCTTGATATGGTAAATTGTAAATGCTTGCAGAGTAAATGATCCTGTGGCAATGAAACTGCTGGGTAAGGCAGGTGAAATGCCTTCATTGGAGCCTCCAGATGACGAGAGCATTATGACACTATATGTGGGTGGGGTTGACGCAAGAATTACCGAGCAGGACCTTAGGGATCAGTTTTACGCACATGGTGAAATTGAGTCTGTAAAAATGGTGTCGCAGCGCGGATTTGCTTTCATAACATATACCACAAGAGAAGGTGCGGAGAGGGCGGCTGAGGAACTTGCAAACAAGCTGGTCATTAAGGGACTTAGGCTCAGACTACTGTGGGGTAGACCGCAGGCACCAAAACCCCCCGAGTCTGAGATGACTGCTGACGACGCGAGACATCAAGCCGCCACCGTGGCTCATAGCGGGTTGTTGCCTAGGGCTCTCATATCACAACAGCAGCAGCAGATCGGTGGGCAGGACCCACCCACGCCCATGCCTTACTTTAACATTCCACCGATGCCACCTCAGCCAGACAGGGCGGGTGCATTGTATCCTTCTATGGACCCTCAAAGGATGGGAGCTCTTTCTTCGGCTTCAGGGTCAGGTGAAAATAGAAGTGGTGGTCCTGATAAACCACCACCACAAGGAGGAGGTGGATACCCGTTTGCTTATCCTCCTCTCGTGCCACCACCTCATGGTCAATTTTACCCTCCTTATTATCCTCCTCAACAATATGGAGGGTATATAATACCTCCCCCTTCTCCACAGTCTTATCAGCAGTACCCTCCTCCTCATCATCATCAAGCTACAATGGCACCTCCTCCACCTCCCAGTGGCGGGCAAGCACCACATCAGCAACAGTCACAGCCAGGACCAGGGCAACACCGAACGCTTATGCAACAAGAACCTGGGCAGCAGTCTTGATCTTGGGATTATTGTTATGTTTGTGTGAGGGAATCTGTAACAGAAAATGCTATAACTCTTTTCAAAAGACAATTGTCATCTTTCTACATGGTACAATTAAATTTTTCCCAGTGAACTCAGATTTGAGATGATTCTATAAGATGCTTCAGATTGTGCAGATGAAATATTTCTTCAAACTGTGGGGAGTGGTGTGCAAGCTTTTTCTTAATCTCTAAGGGCCCGTTTGTTATAATGTAAAGTAAACACTTTGCACGTAAAGTGGAGGGGAGTAAACATTTTATACCGTTTGTTTTACTACCTCCGTCCCAAAAAGAGTTGCAAATTTGACTTTTCTTAGTCAAACAGGCTCGTTTTGTTCACTTAATTAGGATGTCAATTTTTAATTATTTTCTAATTTGGAGTTTACAACTTTGAAGAAATTTTAATGTAGATTTTGAATATGTAAATTTTAATTAGTAAAAATCGAATTAATTATCCATAGGGAGGATTGACTTTTATTATTGGTTGACAAAAAAATATTGACTTTGCAAAACAAATTGGGACGGAGGGAGTAATTATTTAATGCAAACTGTAGGACACTTTTTTTAAAACACTTTACACTGTACCACGTAAAGTATTTTACGTGGGGGAGGGTAGCAAACTAGTTTACATTCATTAAGTAATACCGAGCATCACAAAATCATCCACCATATCACAACCTATCTTGTGTATTGTGTTGCCCTGCACAGCTGCACTTCATCTTGCAAGAGGTACGCTTGTAGTTTCTTTATTTTAGTTGATCGACTTGATTTTTTCTAATGTGCCTGAAAATTGAATTTGTGGAATTTAATTTTGAAAGAGATGATGAAATATGCTTCGACTTTATTTGAGTGGGAGGGATAGTATGCTCTGGTTTATCTATCCGTAGTATATATATGAGTGTGTATGTATATAATATACGGAGTAATATGGAGCATATGTATATGGTCCGTTTGTTAATAGGGAGTATTTTATTATTTTCCAAATAAACATTGTAAAGACTTTGCGTGTAATTTAAAAATAGATTACATATATAGCCAAACGATGTACTACGTATATTTATTTTACACGTAAACTAATTACAGCCCTACATTTTACATGCAATCATTTTGCATGTAAAGTTTTAATGTGTGAAGTACCAAACGAGCCCTAAATTTGGATGAACATGTTCGACTAGATGAAGTGCAGGCTGGAATTAAGGAAACCAATTTGGTCATTTGTGAACTAGACTAGTGTGTTTAAAGTTTAAACTAGGTGAGGTTTCGCTTTTGAACCCTAGTCTTTCAAGTGCTTTATTGACCCCTTCATGTTAACAAGTTATTATCATTGTTTCCTTCGTTGGCTTTTTAAATTCTCAGCCTGTTTTCAAGTTGGTCCCATATCATTAAGTAAATTATAATAAAAAATATTTTAGTGGAGTTTATAGTTATAATGTCAACCAGATCGATTTGTTAATGCTAGACTGTGATATATTATCATCATTCAGGGGCGTAGCCAGAACATTGGGCTAGACTGGGCCGGTACAAAGAATATTATTGGAAAAAAATTTATACGAAATTGTTTACAATAAAAATATTGACATTTTTCAAATTTGGGGTGGGCCAGGGCCTAGCCTGGGCACCCCCTAGCTCCGCCCCTGATCATCAAATCATATTGAGGCAAATGCAAGTCATACGGGGAGTAGTGTTTCGAGTGGCGGACATAGGGCTGTTAACGAGTCAAGCCCGAACACCCAAAGCTTGAGTTCGACTGGATAAGGAATTAATGGTGTTCGGGTTTGAGCTCGAAGCTCGGCGAGCTTTGCAAATGAGGCTCGTGTTCGGCTCGATAGGTGTTTGATGTTCGAACCGAACGCCCCATAAGCTCGATAAATATTCTCGAATTTAAAATTTTAGGTGATGCTCGTTAATAGCTCGTGCTCGAAAGATTCGACAAGTATTCGATTCGTTAATAATCATATTTAAAATCATAAAATCATACTAATTATATTTAAATTTCGAATATATATAAATTATAGGAAAAATTGAAAACAATAATTCCAACTATTGTCTGTCCGCTAACAATAATCCTAACTATTGATTATTTTTGTATAATCCCAGCTATATAGACCCTCCGCCAATAATGGTCCATGACCGGATATTACCTGTTATAACATGTGAATTTTAAATAGAAATTAAGAGTAAAAATTAAAAGTTGGGATTATTTATAGGGATTACCTTCTATATCTCTTCTCATCCACTTTAGAAACTATAAGAATTTATTTATAGCTGGTCACGCCAGACCATTATTGGCGGAAGATCCCTAAAGTTAGGATTATTCTGAAATAATCTATAGTTGAGATTATTATAAGCGGACCACCAATAGTTGGGATTATTAATATCAATTTCTCCTAAACTAAATTTATAATTTCAAGGTGTTCGATAAGCTCGAGTTCGAACCGAGCCGAATACTACTATGTTCAGCTCGGCTCGATTAATCTTTTGAACTTAAAATTCAGCTCGGGTTCGGGTTCGAAAGCTCGTTAAGCTCGACTCGTTAGGTTCGAAACCGAGCTCGAACTCGAATAGTTCGATAAAAGCTCGGTTCGTTAATAGCCCTAAGCGAACAGGTGAATAGCCCGTAAGAACTAAGAACTTGTCCTTGTGAGGGTGAAACAAGTAAAACACAAAAAAGCTCATGATTAAAGATATTTTTACTTGGATTGTTTTACTCCCAGATCAAATCTGATTTAAACATATCAAGTCGGACCAGTCTAGACTTAACCAGACCAGACCAGACCAGATTTCCATAGTTATAAAATACACAAAGACCAGACATTTACCAGATCAGACCATACTTAAACAGACTAAACCACATCAAATCAACAAATTTCAGTCCAAGTAAAAACATTTGGTTCTCATTTTTCAAAGTGGGTAGGCAATTTTACCTTAGAGTAGAGACCGTTAACAATTAACATCAAGGGGTTACCATCCACAATCCTGCTATAGGTACCCCAATTTGTACTCCAACCTATTTTTGTGGCTCACAAAAGTCCACCTCAATAAATGAATTGCCCCACTTTAATGAGGTGCTTTTCTGAGCCACAAAAATATGGTGAGGGTACAAATTGGGGTACCAATTGGGATACCTTTACCATTTTTCTACCATCTAACAACAAGAACCATCGATGTAGAGTTGTAGACATGTAGTGTTACGTGAACTTTATTTATTTTCATCAGTCATATAAACCATAGATTTATCTCATACGGAGTAGTAAATAATATTTCATCTGCCCCTATCTTTGTCACTTTGTCTCTTTTCACCTATTTTATTTATTCCAGTAAATTTGTGTATGTCATACTCCGGGTATTTAGTACTCCCTTCGTCACATATTAAGGAAAGAAATTTATTGGGGAATAAATTCTACTGTTTGAACACTGTTTGACACTGTTTTGAGTCTTTTGATATAGTCAATTTGTCAAATAAGGAAAAAAGAACTTAATTCAGGGACTACACAAAAAGGAAAGAGTGAACTTGTTTCAGGGACGGGGGGAGTAATATTTGAATGATTATAATTAACACATATTTTTTTTTTTTACTTCTACTATAGTCGTATGACTAACAAATGTGATCATATTAAGAACTATTCAATCGGAACACATATATTCTACCAAAAAGCATACTAGAAAAGATGTTGATGCCAAATTTTCCGTTAGCAAGTATACTTTCTAGCAGAAAGATCCATAATGTGGATAATTTTATTGGTTAACTGATCAAATTTTACAAGTGAATAAAGTTATAATGTTAAAAACAGATTCAATTAAAAGCTTTAATGTTAAGACTCTGAGCACGTTCGACGACTGCAACTTTTGGCTTTAAGGAGTGTTTGGGTTTGCTTAAAAAAAGCACTTTTCAGCTTTTGGCTTAAAAAAAGTTGAAAAGAGTGTTTTCAAATGACAGCTTCTGCTTAAATTAATCACTTAAAAGCTAAAAGCTGGAAGCAGGTAGAAGGGTGCTTTAAACTGCTTCTCACTTTTTCTATTACACAAAAGGTACTTATTTTACCAAACACTACCAACTTTTACTTTTTCAGAATCATTTTTTTCTCAAACACTACCAACTTTTACTATTAATCACTTTTCCCAAAATCACTTTAAAAAATCACTTTTTTAAAGTTGAAGCAATTGCAAACACTCCCTTAGTCTTATTGGACAATTTCTTTACCAAACATATAACTTTAATTTTACCTTCCCGATTATGTGATAATCAAAATAAATAAAGCTTGAGTTACTACTTTGGTCAAATTGGCTGAAAATACTATAGATAACCATTTTCTTTATTTTCATGTAATTTTTTTATTTTATTAATAAAATACTACATCCGTCCCACTAATATTGGGACGGAAGGAGGTGACACGGTTACTAAGAAAAATGAATTTATATTGTTGATATTAATTGATAAAGTAAAAATAAAGTAAGAATAATTTAAAGCCACATAAACTTTATCAAGTTTGGTATAAGACAGTTTTAGTTGGATTTCAGAAAGAGTAAAATGTGACAATATTAACGGGACGGATGAAATATATCTTAAATATAATTTTTTTTCATAATCTAGTTGTTGAGGTATATTACCCCGGTCCGTTACTGTTCAGGAGCCCAAGGCATCGCCCCAGCTTGGAGCCCGAATGACAATGTCCATTTCAGCCTATTAGGCATGTTTCGGCCCTTTGGGCCCATTTTGGGCTTACTTGGCCAATTAGGTTAGGTTTCCCTCTTTCCCTTACCCCTATAAATATGGGGCTTTCCCACATGTTAGGGATCCTTTTCCTCCCTTCTTTCTTCCTCCTCTCTAGAATAGTTTAGAACTCCATTAATGGGAGCTTCAATACTTGTACTATGTAATGGTGAGGAGAGACTAATGAGAATTGAGAGGGCTTGGACATTAGCCTAAAAAGTCCCGTGGTTTTCTCCCTTTCGGGTTTCCACGTAAAAACTGAGTGTTCATACATATATTTACTATATCGTGTTGGATTAAACTCAACACTAGTATATTCAATCAACTCATACACTTCAAGTATAACTTCATCAATTTCAATATAATCAATTGATTTCAGTATTACCAAGTGTGCTCAAAATCGCTAATTTTATTTATACTTAAATAAGAAGCTATTAAAACCTTTTTAAAGAGATTAAATTCCACTAATACTACTATTTTAAGAGTTAC